CTTCATAAAAATAGTCCCAAGTATTTTATATGTGCTGTAGTTAATCTTAAACGGAATTCCTTTTTACAACTCTTCCTGCTGGATTTTGTTAGTAATGTAGAGAAATGCTGATGACTTATGTGGATTTATTTTATATCTTGCAAGTTTGCTAAAGTTATTAATTTTTGTTGGATTCTCTAAGTACACTATCACATAATCCACAAAAAGCAATATTTTTGCTTCCTGTTTGCCTATACTTATTCCCTCAATTTGGGTTGGGTTGTTTTTTTTTTTTTGTTACTATAGCTAGCATTTCTAGCACTAGTGACTAGTAAAGTAGTACTAGTGACAATAGAGATCCTTGTTTTACTTCTGACCTTACTGGAAAGGTCTCAAGTTTATCCCCATTACATATAACACTGGCTCTTGGCTTGAGATATATACTATTTACCTTGTTAAGAAAAGATCCACTTATTCTTATGTCTTTCAGTGTTTTTAACAGAAATGAATGTTGCATTTTGCCACAAGGATTTTCTGAGTCTATTGATATAATCATATGATCTTTTTGTTCTTATAATTAAGGTAGTCAGTTAAGTTTATAGCTTTCCTACTATTGAACCAGATTTGCATTTCTGGTAAAAATCCCCCTGGTTCAAAGTGAATAATCTTTGGGAGATGTTGCTATAGCCTCTATGCTGATATTTTATTTAAAATTTTTTACATAAATGTTCATTAGGGATGTTGGTCTGTAGTTGTCTTTATTTTGACTCTCTGTTTTAGTTATCAAGATTATTCTTGTATATAGAAGGAATTTGTTAGGATCTTGTATTTGCCTATTTTTTTTTAACAGTTTGGGTAATACTGGCATCACTTGTTTTTTGAGTGGTCAATAGAATTCCTTTGTAAATCTATCTGGTGCTCTAGAATTTTTTTTCCTTTGGGAGTACATTTACTGGCTTGCTCAGTTTCCTTTTCTGAGATTTCTTTTCACTGTTATCCTTTCTTCTAACATGGTATTGCTTTTGATCTTTGCTGTAACCAATCCAGGATCAGATAGCTAATTCTGAAATGATTCCCATATTGGTAAACAGTTTTTTTTAAATTTTCTGTTAACATATAATTAGTTTCACTTTTTTTGTACTGTTGGTAGTATTCACCATCTGCTTCTCTTTGTAAAAAGTATTCAGCCCTTACAGGTATGAGGCTTCTAAGTAACCTAAACATTGTTTGCTGCTGTTGTTGTTTTTTTCAGCTTTCACTGCTTTATCAAGGTATGTGTTAATTAAGTTTGGAAGGTATTGTTAAGTTATTTGTAAAAATAAAAAAATGCTTCCATTTCAAATACCCATAGATTAAGGATTGGCTAAACAAATTCAGGTGCATGATTGTAATGCAATGTTACTATTCCACAAGAAACAAAGAATATGAAAAACACAGATAATTCTGGTAAGACTTAAATGAACTGATGCACTGAGAAGTATGCAGAACCAGGAAAAAGATGTACACAGTGGCTGTCACAATGTAAATGAAAAAAGAATAGAAAAAAATTGAAACTAAAAGCTGTGTCATTAGAATAACCAAGCCTGGCCCTGAAGAGAAGATGAGAAAATGACCCTTTGTCAGGAGGAATGGCTGTCTGGGGAGGGAAGGGAGTAGGATACATTTTGAAAAGAGGCTTTCGGTGGTTTATGAGGTGATGTGGCTAATAATTTTCTGTCATTCTCCTTGGCAGTGTTTTGCAGAGGGTGATGTGAAAACAAACGGCAGCATAAAAACTTTGAAAAATGAGTTTCTGTTTCCCCTCTACAACAGATGTTGCCATGTAAGTTGCAATCATCTTCATCCTGACTTGGTTGTTTTTGTGCGTCATGAACATCATAAGGCAAAACGATGAAAGTATCTCATCACATGATGTTTCTGTTGCCTTTGCGTGTACAATTGAAACAATTCTGCCACCTCCTTGATTTGACTCTGAAGCAAACCTACCCCTCCATTCAACTCCATTGAGAATGTCAACATGGAGATAGTCCAAGCCCTACAGTCATGTACCGATCATTTCATTGGCCATAAAATAAAGACCTTAAATTTAGAATCTGTAGATGCTTTAAAAACCATATGAATCTTGGCAACTCCTGCCTGTTTTAGAGTAAGCTAGTGGCACAGTGGATACAGCACTGGGCCTGGAGTCAGGAATGCCTGACTTCAAATCTGGCCTTAGACAATTACTAGCTGTGTGAACCTGGGCAAGTCACTTAATTGCTGTTTGCCTCAGTTTCCTCATCTGTAAAATGGGAATAATAACAGCACCCACCTCAAAGGAAGTAGGTGTTAAGGATCAAAGGAGATATTTGTAAAAGTGCTTAGCACAGTATATGCCACATAGGTGCTTTATAAATGCTTATCCCCTTTCCTTCCCTGTTTTCCCAATACACTGACTGCAGAAGCAGAAGGAGACCAGACAAAACAGAAGACCATTTTGTATTTTTCATTTTTTCCCACAGGTTTTCATGGACAAAGAATTTATTACACAGTGACCAACCTTCTGGTGGTTAACCTTTCTATACTTAACTAAGGGGGTCTTTGTACAGCTGACCTACTCTCTATTGTACCTAGGATCATACTCAAATGAAGGCTTTTTTTTTCTGAGAAACTTCATTTTATTATCAGTAATTCATTTGCATGCTATTGGTGTGATGAAGTTCTCCCTCCCATTTTCCAACACAATAAGTAGGGTTTTTAGTTTTAAACAGGCTCCAATTTGAGGGGGAAGCTTAGCTAACCAGAACCTTCTTCCTTCCCAGACTTGACTACAGAAAGTGAGACAAAATCCAGAGGAGTCTTCTCCATTAAGATAAACACTTAAATTAATTCAAGACCATGACTAAAATATATCTCTTCTTCAGTGACTTTAAAAAAAATTTTTAATTAATTTATTTTTAGTTTTCAACAATCACTTCCATAAGCTTTTGACTTTTAAATTTTCTTCACCTCTTTCCCACCTCCCTCCCCAAGACAGCGTGCAATCTGATTCAAATGATGGCTTTCATTTGAGGTTGCTAAGTGACACTATAGATAATAATAATAGCGCATTTGCAGCATGCTTTACAAATATCTCATTTTATCCTCATAACAACCTGGCTAGGTAGTTGCTATTATCACCCCCATTTTACAAATGAAGAAACTAAGGCAGACAGGTTAAGAGATTTGTCTAGATTCACATAAATATCTGTGGCAGAATTTTAGCTCAGGTCTTTCTGATTCCAGGTCCTGTAGTCTATTATCCACAATCTAGCCACCTCACTGCTTTGAGGATTGAGTGTTGAAATCAGTAAGAACTGAGTCAGACGCTAACTATTCGACTTGGGGGGGGGAGGAAATTAGGTTTCAGTGACTTGCCCAGGGTCACGCAACTAGTAAGTGTCAAGGGTGTGAGGCCACATTTGAATTCAGGTCCTCCTGACTCCAGGGGCCCCTATCTATCCACTGTACCACCTAGCTGCCCCAAGCTGTGGGGCTTTGGGCAGGACTTTTCTTCCCCTCTGTTGCCTCATCTGTAAAATGAGCACAATGATAGCACCAAAGAAAGGCTGGTATGAGTTGATGCACAAGTAGCTCTTTGCAAACCCTTTTGTTCGCAGAGTCCAGGGTCATCCCAACCCACTAAGACATATTGATCTCTTAGGGAAGCTGAATAAGGAGGTAGTCTCCTAGGAAAGGCAGCCTTGCCTCTTTTTTTTAACTTCATTTTGCTGTATTTAATCCGACCAATTAGAAATTCATTTGGATTAATAAACATGGTCTTTAAAAAATACAAATACCTCTGGGAGGATTAAAGGACTTTCACATATTAGTGTGAATTAATTAAATCACATTACTCCTGCTGCAGAGGAAATAGGACTTTTGGTTGGGGCATAAGTCAGAACTGAGTGAGGTGCCAAACTTGGAGATTTAAGCCAACTTGAGAGCCCTGAGGTCCTGGAGCTCAGCTAGATTGTCCTGGAAAAAACCCAATCACCCTTATTTCAATTTCTGCCACTGTTGACCTTTACCACCCAGAAAAAGCAGAAGAAACTTTTCCTTCTCTTCTTCTTGCACTACTTGCCGCCCCCCCACCCCCACCGCTACCCCCGCCCCCACCCGCGCCCCCATGCAGGCTACTACTAATGTTTTCTGTAGTTTAGCTACATTTTGGATCACGTAGAACTTTGTAAGCTGACCTATGGAGCTAATCACCGTTTAAAGCTTTTTCTGCCGGAAAATGTATCCCTAGCTCCAAAGCCCCGAACTTTTGGAACACAACGGTCTAAACCCGAGCTGCCTCTCCCCAGCACCTAGCACAGTTAGTACGCGCGTAGTAACTACTTGTTGAATTGAATTGCATGAGACTGTCATTCGATGATTTGCAGCAGAGAAAGAGTTAAATTTTAAAAAGAGGGAGAGAGACTAGCAGAAGGTCCTGTTTATTGTAGTTCCTCCGAGTCCATCAAGTATTCAGAGACATAGGTTGCCGTAGTAACTGAGTCTGTTCTTCAGCCAGCTCGAGATTAGCTCACTGGAAAAGAGTCAGGATGGGTCAGGCTAGGCTAGGGTGGGAAGTGAGACGAAGGGGGAGGAGGAGGAGGAGGAGGGGAGAGAAGAGGGGAGGGGAGAGAGGGGAGGGGAAGGGGAGGGAAGGGGTGGAATTAACGTCACAAGAGATAGTCACAAAGTCAGGAAAGGAAAGGAAAAGAAAGAGGAAGGGGGGAACACCCAGGAGGACTCCCGAGCAAGAGCAAAAAAAAAAAAAAAGGAACCTACCGGGCTGCAAGCAAAGAAGGTCCTTTAAAAGTGGGGGGAATGAATCGGTCGCGAAGGCAGCGAGTCCCATGGCCGTGAGAGAGGAAGGGGCCGGTGGGGGAGCGAAGCCGGAGAGAAGGGAAAGAGAGATTTCCCGTGCATTGTGAGAACCTCCAGCAACAAAAGGGCGGAGGGTCTGGGAGCCATGCAGCCCGATGCTGCTGCCTCCACCTCCCCCCCGCCTCCTGCAGCTGGGTCCCGGCTGGACGCCCCCAGAATGAACCGTGGGCGCCGAGGAGCCCAGCTGGGGGCCCTGGCAGCGAGCAAGGTGAGTGGGGAGACGCTGGTTGGGGTCCCCGCCCTAGACTCGGGCCCCCTCGGGCTAGTCATTGTCGGGAGAGCGAAGCCGCGGGACCCCGGGAGGGAGGGAGGGAAGTGGGGGGAGAGAAAGGAAATGGCCAAGCTCGACTTGAGGAGCTTGGGACTGGAGGATCTCCCCAGTTGGGAGTGGGCTCAGCTCAGTGGGCTGCCTTTGCGATGGACGGCTGGAGAAGACGTGTGTGTGTGTGTGTGTGTGTGTGTGCGTGCGTGTGTGTGTGTGTGTGCGCGTGTGCGTGCGTGTGTGCGTGTGTGCGTGTGCGCGCGCGCGTGTGTTCTGTGTTTGGGTGTGTGTCCATGTGTAAAGATGAAGCTAGGTTCTCAGTGGACTTAGTCTGTCGTCCCCTGTGACTGCAAAGCTATCATACCCCTTTTTTGGGAGGAGGGGGCAGGGAGGGCAGTGGTCGATAGGGCAAGACCGAGTGATTTTTAAAAAAAGTGTTCTAAGGAAGCCAGCTGTTCCACCGGTACCGACCTCTTTCTGCAGCCAGAGGGACTCGAAAAGGGACCTGAGGTAGAAGGAAGGGGATTGGGAGGGAGGATCCTGAAATTGGAAGGTGATAATAAAAAAATAGTGAGCAGCCATTCCTCCAGCACCTGTGCCAGGGGTTTGGGTGGTTTGATTCTTGAGGTAGCGGGGCTTTTCAGAGTGCAAATAGTACTATTTTGGTTCTTTTTTTTCTCTTATTCTGAGGGTGGTGTAGAGGTGGGCAAGGTTCAGTAAAAGTGAATTCTGATTAAGGAACACAGGATATATTATTGAGGAGATTTATTCAGAGCCAAGTTCTGAGCAGGGCTTGGACCTTGGCGATGTAATGGCATCAGTAGTAGTAATAGCTAAGGCATTCTGAAGAAGCTGGGCAGTCGATTCTCTGTGAACAGGAAAGCAGTAGTTCAGTAGCTCCTCCTTTTAAGAGGGGTAGAGAGAAAGGATAACATACTAACTACCTTCTAACACCACTTAGTTATGTTTCAGGGCTATAATTTAACAGATTCTTTGTAATAATGAGCTACGTCAGCAAAGTAAGTAGTATAGTAAGTAGTGTCTTTTTTAGGATTTTTATTATGCAGCCCTGGAACACTTTGTTGTCACTGAGGTGAGGTACAACAGGCAGTTAAATGCTGCTTTTTTTGGGGGGGAGGTGACAAAGGCTCTGTAGTTTTTTGTGTATAAAAGATACAGTGATGAAAACAAAACACAGCCATTAGGTCTCCATGAGCTTACATTGGGGGGAGGGGGCAGGGAGATATAGCATGTAAACAGATGAGTAAATATAAGATAAGGTGGAGAGCCCTAAAAGCAAGGAGGATCTGAAGGCAGATCCTTAAAGAAATCTAAGAATTCTAAGATGGAGAGGTGAAATGTAAAAGAATGAATTTCCTTTCCTCATCAGCCCAAAGTGTCACATACATCAGTCTTAGACTGAAGACTGCTTTGGAGCTGGGTCCTGTTGGATGAAGAGAACAGAATTTTGAAAGTCGTGGCTAAACAGAGACTTTACTCAGAAAAGCGGTCGTGAGAGGACTGAAGGAGGGGGAGAGACTAGCCTCTTGCACTTTGGGAAATATAAACTCTAAATAACAGGAGGATTGAGATTGTTTTTAGATTAAATGTGTGCAGGTAAGGGAAAAATAGAATGGAATCCATATCAAGGAAGCAGATAGGATACTTTCAGCCACAGGAGTTGAACAGATTGTGTGACATTTAGGCAACACATTTGGGTCTAGGTTTTTTGGCCACTGAGGTAAAAAGGATAGTGGTTCTGGAATTTTCATTTTTCAACAACCAAAAATATGAAAATTAGTTTGCATGAATAAAAGTCTTCACAGAGATAAAGAAGGAATTTGGCATACATCTTTTTAAAAGGGTACAGTGACATAATGGATACTTTCATCTTCACTGTGACCTCCAGTTCTGTCCTCTTTGCTCTGCCTCACTTTCCTCCCTTCACAGTCTTGACTTTACAAGTTGACTAATCCATCATGGTTTACTACATTTTGCACCCTTGACTCTCTACTACCATCATGCCCTGCCAATTTTCAGCTTGAATCATCCGTACCATCCATCTTCTCCAATCCTTTGGGAATCTAAATCATAGGATTAAAAGATCCTATGTCCAATCACCTAGTCTAATCCCTCCATTTTACAGATGAGGACATTGAGCCAGAGAAGTGAAATGACTTGGTGAAGGTAGTCCCACCACAAATTTGTTAACTCAACTGGGCTCTCACTACTGCATGCAGTCTTTTTGTATTTCCTTGATTAATGCTGTCCTAGTCTCCCCAGTTATTTTTTCAAACCCCTTCTATTCTCATGCCACACCAATCTTAGATCTCTCTCTGCTAACAGACTGGAGACCATTTGTTTTGAATTTTCTCATCTCCCTTTTGCCATACGTCAAAACTCTATACATCTCTAAACAAATGACTCCCAAATCTATATATACAGCCCTAATCAACCATTCTTCTGAAATTTTTGCACTGCTCAAGAGTCACCTCCAATACTGTGCCTTCCCTGGTTTTCTCTACCTCCCCACTTATTATTTTGTATAAATTTATGTAGGTGAGGCAGTGGATGAAGAGCTCAGACCTCATGGTTTTGAGGACCAGGGTTCAAGTGTCACCTCTGATACATACTGTTTTCATGACCCTGGTCAAGTCATGTAACGTCTACATGCCCTATAAACCTGTCTAAGACTGTAAGTTGCATAGAAGGTATTGATCTGTACTGATAGAAGTTGTTTATAACCAGGAACTTCCTACATGCATTAAAGTCCAGGTTGTTTTTTTAAATACTCAATTTACTTATCTGTCTATATGTTCTATCTCTCAATAAAATGCAAGTGCTTTGAGGGGAAGTACTGTTTGGTTTTTGTCTTTGTATCCCAGGTACCTAGCACAGTGCCTTGTACGTAGTAGGCTTTTAATATGTGTTTATTGAATTGGAGATAAACTTTCCAACCAGATGATTATTATTTCCATAACCCTTGGTAAAAGACAGAGTATGATATCATACTTCAATTCATTGAAGGCATTCATGGCTGTCAGGGAGTCGAGCGTCAGTGCTGGTTCATAAGCAACAGGAAAAGGTAGGTCAGGAAGAACTGGAAGTGGAAGTGAGGGCAGGCCAGCAAGGGCATAGCCTAAAGTTCAGTATACAAGAAAGGCGCCCAAGCTTGGGGGAAGATGATCTTCTAGTGACAGACAGTGGAATGATAACAAGTACCACAAATCCGTATAGTGAACTGAGGCTAGCATCTAAGGTTTCAGGGCAACAAGGGGGAACAGATGTTGGCATAAAAAGAAAAGCAGTGAAGCTAAGCCAGAGAGAAGTAAGACAAGGCAGAGCAGAGCATGTTGCAGGGGTCTGGTGACCTTGGGTGGCTTTCCTTTTATTCTTGTGGCCGTGTACTCCCTGCGCTATGGGGGTTTGGGAAGGAGGGGAGATGTTTGGGTTGAGCTGCCTGAATTCCTGCAGTAGAATGTAGGCTCCTTATAGGCAAAACCCAGTTCTTTTGGCTCTTTGCATCCATGGTTCCTGGCACAATGTTTGACACACAGTAGGTACTTAATAAATGTTTGTTTAGTTGAACACAAGGAATAACAGAGGGATATGATAAATGAAAGTTATGCCTTTGACAGTAATAACAATAATATGGTTTTTAAAGTTTGCAAAGTGCATTATAGTATCTCTTTATATCTTTTAAATGGATATATTTTATATATCCACATATATTTATATGTAAATGTATGTATATATGTGTGTCTGTATACATATGTAAAAATAGTTGTCGTTCAGTTGCATCCAACTCTTTATGACCCTGTGGACCATACTGCATCAATTCTTTCCAGGGGTTATCTTAGAAAGTTAGTACAGTGGTTTGCCATTTCCTTTTCCAGGAGATTGAGGCAGACAGAGGTTAAGTGACTTGCTTAGGGTCACACAGCTAGTAAGTGTCTGAGACCAGATTTGAACTCAAGCTTTTCCTGACTCCAGGACTAGTATTCAATATACTGAGCCACCTAGTGCTTCCGTGTGTGCATGCATGTGAGTGTGTGTGTGTATACACACACATATACACATACTTATATACATATACACACATACGGTTACAATTATCTTGGGAGGTAGGTGCTATCAATATTCCCATTTTAGAGATGAAGAAACTGATATTGAGCAGTTGTCACTACCTTCTGAACAGTTCCTTCTCCCTTACACAATGTGTCTGTCAAACCTAAAGGAGACCCTGACAACATGCAAGATATGGAACAGATTAGGAAAGCCTAGGTCAGTGTCAAGCAGATGTATAGTCTAAGGGTACATGGCAGGGATACAGATCTAGAGTCCACATCTAGCCATAAAGAGGAGAGAATAGAACCCAGACTGGGAGACTCAGGATAGCATCTTAATGTCTGGTAAGTCAGCCCAACCAAGCTATGGTTTTTGATCCCCAAACTGGGGCTAAATGCGCTTTCTTGGTGTGGGATGAATAAGGACTAATATATTTTTTAAATAGGGTCATAGATTTAAAGTTGGAAGGGACTTTCGAGGCCATTTTGTCTAACCCCCTGCCCCAGTGAAATTAACTGACTTGCCAAAAGTCAGACATGACAGAAGTGGAATTGGAATACAGGACCTCTCAGTCCAAAGCCAGTGCTTTTTCGATGGGTGCTGTTTGCAAGACCTGATTCTGCAAGTGCTTATGGCTTGTACTGGCAGAATAATGAAAGGACCAAGCTCGCCACAGAGTTCTGCCAAGTTCGAACACCAAGATATCACAGTCTGGGCACTTTATTTGCTGAAAGCATAAATTAATACAGAGATAGATTAGGGGTTCTTAACCTTTTATGCATCATAAACCTCTGGGGCAGTCTCATGACACTTATGCAAGACCCTTCTCAGAATAATGTTTTTAAATTAATAAAATATAGAGGATAAAAAAGAAAACT